TTTTTTTTTGAACAATTGTCGACATGCTGATTCCTCTTTCAATTTCCTGCACATGTTACGCCAGCTGTGATAGATTTGATTTATGACGTTTCTAGAGTATATCTACTACCATACTAGGCTCCGACTTTCACTAGAAAAGATAGTTGGGTAGCAATTAGAAAGAAATTTTTTTACGGCCCTTTCAATTTACGGCATCGCTAAGAAAGATTTGCTCGAGTACTTTTATAGTTTCAGGAACTAAGACCAATAAGTATCGATTTGTTAATTGCACTTCCGGCAAATTCGATCACTCTACGTCGGAACACCTTGGTATTGAATTATATCAAGATCGTTAAGATCATCTTAAAATACACTTAATTACGTGTAGAGCATCTGATGTATGCATCGAAGAATATCACGAAAACAGGCAATTAATAGATTGCAAAGAATGAGAATATGAAACTTTTATTAAATGGACGATACTTTGTTCTTCAAACGTTATTAGAAAGATCGTGATCGCGGTGAAGGTAACAATAATTATTCGCTGCACTGCAGGCATGCAGTTGAGGAAATATAAATTAGCGAGAAGTTGGGTCGTTGACACGCCGGCTAAGCACCGACAATCAGAGAGAGAGAGAGTTACGGAGATTTGACTCAGTTTTTCTCGACACGCTTTTTCAGTAATAGAAAAGTCAAACTCGCTCGACTGTCTCGCATCACTAATCCCTGAATATAAAAGATCACGAAGCCTGTGTCGCAGCCAGTTAAGAAGGTACACGTCGGTGTCTATCTGCGTCGATTAAGCTGATACCATGTTGGTACGTCTTCTGTGATCTATATCTATATTCACAGTGATTATATTGATGATTTTCACGTAGAAAGAATTGATTGACAATTGATCGTAAATGTAAAATGTGTCTAACAATAAATAGTTAAATGTGTTGCAGGTATTCTTCATTGTTTTAGTCACATCGACGATGAGTTTTGCTATAGGAGCGGAGTACCAATTATTAACTCCAAACTTTATAAAACTGAAAAGGGAGATCGTCGAAACTGATCACGATGTTTCTCAAGATCATAAATCTCATCGAAACCAATCGATCGAACCGAACATACGAAATGCTGAACCGATGAATCCAAAGTCTTCGTCCAATCATAAGAATACCAAAACTGTGAAAGAATCTCCATTCATTGGACGAAGCAGTCCTTTAATGTACAACGATGTATTCAAACAATCATCGCCCTATGTTACTTCGCTATTGTCTATCCCTTCGTTCGAGTTCCAGAACAACAAGCGATTGTTACCATATTCTGATCATTTATTTACTATGTCCGCTGGCTATAAAGTCGCAGGTGACGATTTCACTAGACCATTGAAACAAGTTGGTACAGACCGTCAACCAAAATTTCATCAGAATGCAGCAATAGGTATGTACAGTAATCACTAGACTGCGAATGTTTATGTATTTTTAAGATTCTCAAGATATACTTTAATATAATATACTTTATTATAATATATATATATATAATATATCTATATTTTGTTATACTTTATCGTATAAAGTATGTTATTAACTAATAATTATTATAATTATTATAAAAAGTTTATAATATACACTTTATAATATACTTTATAATATATTATATAAAGTACTTAGATTATATTATATTATATATGTATAAAATAGTTTGTTATATTGTTATCTATATATAATATACTATATGATATAATAAGGTATAACAAAAAATATATATAAATATATAATACCATGTTGTATATAATAGAGCTTTTATGATGAAATTTAATAGGCAAAAGAAATTACTATCTAAAATGCATTTCTTTAATTATATTCGTGAAAATATGAGATATCTGTAGTCTAGTAATCAATTATCTTACGTCAATCTTTCTAACTGGTTTCATTTTTTGCAGATGCAAATCTTCAAATGCCTGTGTATAAGACGGTTTACCCGTTGCCGAAAGCCTCGGGATCACAAATTTACGCGGCCATGTTTCAAAACGAGAAGGCTTCATTGCCGATTCTTCAAGTACGAAAGAGTGAAGAGCTACCTTCGTATGTATCCAGTTTGCAGAGCCAACCACTCGTTTTGAACCCTGTAGACCATCAGTTCAATTTCGCAGTCAGAGCACCGAAAGTAAACAGCGTGCAACCGAGTGCACCTTTTCTGTCGCCACTTTCCAGTTTTCAGGGTCAAGTGGTCCCAATTTCGACCGCAGCCAACAACGCGCAATTTCCGCAATACAAAGGTGCCACGGTGGAGCCAGTCTATCCAACTGTCAGTGGCTTTTCAACGATGGCTTATCAACCTATCCAAGCACAGTTGCATTTCGGCCACGATAACGTTCAGCCTGTGCAACCTGTTGACAATTTACGTCACTCCATGCCAACGGAAGAAATTCGTTCCGACGTGGAGATCATTGACAAACACAAGCCTCCACCACCGCCGAAAACCGACGACGACGAGGATGATGTTGACGACGACAAGGATGACGCCGATGGCGACGAAGGTGCATTTAATAATACGATAATTTCTTAACCAAAGTATAATTTAAATTTCAACAGTGAATTCGTTCGGCAGGTTATGTACCTCCCGATAAACAATACGAAGCGAATTCAGAAGAAGATGGTGACTACAAATCTAATTCTGAAAGATACTTCAAGACACCATCGGTGCAAGGTAACTTCAAGCCTTCGACGTCGTTCCCTTTCAAGCAATACGATGAGAAATTTGGCAAATATTCGAGTCGTTATCGTAACGAAGACACCGAGAAACCACTCTCCAAATATCATGATTACTCTTCGTCGAGCGATGACGATAGTGATGAAGAAGCACCAACCGGTAAATATAATTCGGATGGGACGTCGTCAAAAAGTTTGTACGATAAGCAAGAAGACGAAGACGATGATTATAGACACGTTTATGAAAGAGAAAAGACTGAAGAAACGTCTGATGATGCGAATATGCCTAAATATAAAGAATTTGAAGCAAAGTATAGAGCAAAGTCGCCGAAACAAAGTAAGTATTCTTTTATAATTAAAACGAGTGGAATATACTGAACAAGTGAATATATTATCGTAGAATATATTCATCTGAAAGAAGCACCAGAAGTAGAGTATGGATCGAGATTATCGAAAGGAAACGACCCGAATAACTACGAAGATTTTTCAGACCAAGCAAGTCAAAGAAATTTTAGGTATTTCAAAAATTTCCAGAATTTCAACGACGCTGGAGGACATAGTTCTGATATTGTAACGAGTTTCTTGCCCACGACGACGCACAATGGAGAATTTGAGTATAAAGTATTTAAATGAAATATAGCATTCTAAATCTACGAAAAATCCCAATGACTTACCAAAATACTAATTATTTTCTATAGCTATCTCTCAGTGCATATAATTTATCTAAAATCTTGTTATGTTATTTATTTTATTATGTCTGTGTATATATATTATATGTGTGTGTATATATATTAGACATAAATTTCTGTTGTAACTGAAACATTGATAAATATTTTCGTACAAGAAATGCCTTCTTATTCATAAGGACGTAACATCGATCGAACAAATTGATTTTTTTTTTCATGTGAAGTATATTGTTCACCGGAAGTAAGCGTGAGACGTACGTGTACGTTACGTCTTGATAAGTTTCTCAATATAAAAGTAATAGGTGCAACGATTTCGATTTATTAATTTCCGATCGAGCAACTAGTCTTCCGGCGACTAATTGCACAGCAATGACGCTACGACCAATCGTCAAGCAACAGTGCCTTATAATTCTCCAGTGATATTCCGATTTTTACATTTCCTCTTAATAGCCTTAATTAATTTTGTCATTACGTCGATATCGGTGAAGCGTTCTCTTGCGAATTGGAATCTGTATATATACTCGTTCTTCGAGTTGGAGAACTCAGTGTCATCGATGACATCGTCCACACCAATATGAAGATCGCCTACAGGGTAACAAGCATTTCAAGCCACGAAATCTTTACTTTAAATCGTATCGAGGCAAGGCCATTCAAAAATATTTCTTTTTCTCTTTCAGATCCTCGTTGCATTCGCTTTGGCTGGTATCGTGGAACTCAAATCGTCATCAAAAAGGGAGAAGAAAAGCGTGACTATATTAGGACCATCTGGCTATGATTTTTTCGGAATGGCGCCAATTTTTTCTACCGGTTCATGGTCTCCAACCAGTTTTGGATCAGCTCTCTGGAATCCCACAGGGGTGCCAGACATTCCCTTGACGCAAGTACAGGTTCAAGCAACGCATAACGTCGCTCTTCAGGTATATATCAGGCTAACATACAGCCTTTTTAATCCAGCAAGTCCACACTTTTGTTCGCATCGTGGTCTTTCCTTGATCTCAGGCATTAAGGGATCCAGTTAGTGGCACACCGAGCGTTGCGTATCCTCCGGACGTGCTGAAAGCCATTCAACAGGCCAAGGAAGCAAATCAGAATGTAAATTGGGCACAGCATAAAGTAGCAGAGGCTAAACAAGCTGCTATTGTTCAACAGAAGGTTGCCCTGGCCAAAGAAGCTGCGGCCAGGGAAGCTGCAGCGAGGTAAACGCACGCATTTCCCAAAGGACATTGTTGAAAAGGGGCATTGATCAATTGTCAATTAATTAACACATTTGTCTAACGCGTTGTCTCTTTCGATAGGTCGCAGGAAATTTCGTCAGCTGCCGAAGCTGAGGCCAGATCGAGCGCGAAACAATTGGTCGCCTTGCAGCAAAGACTGGCGTCGTTGAAAGATGCGGTTGCAGCTGCTCAACGAGTTGCCGCGGCAAGGGAGGCAGCTGCAGCTGCCGCCATTCAAAGAAACGCTGCTGCAACGGCTGCCGAATTGCAGAAACAGGACGTTGACAAACAGATCAGTCAAAGCGAGCAGGAGGCAAAGGTGACAAATTGTTGATTAACTTGCATGAACTTGAACGAGGACAGTCGGTGCACCGAGCTGTTGTCAATTTGCAGGAGAAAGATATAATCGCTGCTAAGGAGAACGCTGTAGCGAACGCTGTACAACTTGCGGCATTGCAAAAATCAACGCATCATCCTTGGTCTCGATAAACATTTTCCACGTGACACAAGCACGAAAATTTTCTTTCTTCCTCTATTTTCTGTTGTAGCTCTACGGTGATGGTCCACTACGTTTTTTTTTTTTTTTTTATTTTCGTTACAAATAAAGTTTGTTTCTCACACAATTTTTCCATTGATTTACCCGATACATTGTGACCTGTGCTTTCGCCAACAGACATGTTTCGCCATATACGCGCTAATTTTTACCACTGTATGTTCATACATACATTGTACGCTTAATTTGCGTATAGTTTTATGCCTAATCAGCTTTATTAACCAAAGGAAGGAATCTCTTGGTATTTCATTGGTCATCTAACGAATACTTCGGTATCACATCCGTAAAAGATTATCTAACAACGCGTGATCGTGACATACTTGCCGGTCGATCGTTGTGGCGGCTGCCTCGTTAAAAGCAATCGCTCCACAGCGATGTTGTTTCCTTTCACAAGACGGTGTAGCGTTAAGCAGGGGTCAGGAACTTTCGTTTGAAATTCACCGATTTCCTGAATCGACGCGAAACAATGGTGCAGCAGTTTATCGCATGTTTGTGGGAAGTGGTAGTGAAAGTGACGGTGGCCACGGTGATTCGCTTCACAGGAAGACAGTAACGGCAATCAAAGAACGCAATGCCAATGTGTAGTTACGTGCAACACAACGCCCAGCAGCCGACAACAGGGGAACAAACGAGTTAGATAAACTCTCTGTGTCGAATCTACCGGCGTATCCCTACCGGAATCCTTTCACTCGCCTCTCTTTCTTTGGCCATTGGTGATACTCTCTTTCTCTCCGTTACGGTCTCCGCGATCCTGTCTGGGCTGCTCTGCTACCACGAATCAGGAGTAATTACGTGGGAAGAAAGTCGTTCGATCAAAGTCACTCTTTCTTGGCTTGATGTCTTCCATGCTCGTTCCCTGGCCATTCACCTGGATAATGATCTTTTCCGTCAGTGTTACAGGAACGGATTGAGAAGAATTGACCGATGTACCTCTATTCCTCGCAATCGTCGAGGTTATCTATTGTTTGGTAAGTTTTACGAGACCTCCCGTTTTTTTTCGTAGAAAAAGGTTTTAAAGCATTCTTTCATTCTGATAATTATCCTCTTGCTCGAGTGAAGATAAGCTTTATCCTTTTATAGCTTATCTAGTTATGTAGAAAGCTGGAGCGTAGTGTTGTTCAGAAATTTATTAACCAACGTTTTCTTGTACTGTTTTTTTTTTTTTTTTTTATGAGTAACACAATGAAATTTTTTTGAACTTTGCGCTTTTTTAAATGGATACTAGGTATTCTTTTATAAAAGCGTGTATTAATATGAATACAATGTACCATAGGACTTTGGGGTCTGAAATGAAAGAAAAATTGTGAATATTTTAGTACTATTACTAATACGTAGAATATTCCTAATATATGAGAAGTGATCTCGTAAAATATTCAAACTTTTGATCTTGTGTGATCGTGAAGGTCATTTCATGGTCTTTCGTATGATATAAAAAAATATATATAGCATTCCATTTAAAAAGTTGGAGATTTTTTTAAAAAGATTCCTTTCTAAAAAAGAAAAAAATATTACAAATATAAATATTTCATAGACCGCCACGTTACTTGCAAAAAACAATATTACATTTTTCCTGATATTTACCGTTTACAAGAAAAACGCTGGCAAATACTCCGTAAACGCCCTGTATAGTATAATACTTATTAACGATTCTACCATTATCGGCCGTCATCAAAAGAACCGCAACAACTACCCTACAGGCAGATACAGGCAAGCACTTCTCCTTTCACTGTCCAATACTTTCATCAAGGTTGTTTTTTTGGATCTACCCGCGTTTTGCCTTTTACCTCACCCAGTTTTATTTGCTTTCCTTTCTTATTGCGTGAAAGATCGCGTTGCTGTCAGTAAAACTAGCTGCAACTTGAAAATTTTTAATTATTCGGTGTCACGAAAGCGTTCCATCCTGTATTCGTCCCAAAAAGAAAAAGACAAAGTCGTCGGTCGCTAACAAGTAATTCAGATTATTTACTTTCTTTCTAACAATTCTCAGCTGTTCTGCTTTACACACGCTGTGAAATTTTGCATGTGCGTTATTTTGAGAAAATTCTCAAATATTCCACCGATGCCAATTTCTGTGGCGTTCGTTTCAATTTCTTTGATAGTGGCTCGACTTTCATACGAGAAACTTCACGCTGGTGACATCGCAGAATAAGGGAAAACGGAAGAAATCTATGAGTAGGAAAAGAAATCGATCCGAGCGGATCGCGGACGGTCCGCATAGGCGTTCACCACGCTCACTGCGCCATTCTACGTTACTTAGGAAAATCTTATGACAGAGCATTCCGTCGTAGTATTTCAAACAAAGTACATACGATGGTGTTATTTCGAGAGAAAGCTCGAAACTTACACGAGCTGGGGATTTTCGATCTCGATGAACTGCGTGTTCGAACAATACGTACGAGACACACGGATTGATGTTTCCGCGATTCAAAGATGGAATATAATTGCGCACGCAGCAGGAAAAGCTCTTTCGAATGAACTATCGAATGATCTATCGTAACAGTTACGGTTGTAATTACTAATTACTTTCTTCCAATCGAAATCATTTACCTCTTGATATCTTCGATTCCGTCACGCTGATGCGTCATGACATGGAAAGTTAGTTCTCAGGTTGCTGAAGCAAGGGTGTCGAGTTGCAACGCATATTGACATGGACGTAAGTATTTCTTACAGTCTAGCACTAGTGTAGTGTAGGATATGAATACGAGCATGCAAGTCCGGTTTTCGAGAGAGAGATCATCCACGCGTCTGAAAAAGGGAGAGGGAGAAAGCGTATAAAGAGGATCGGTCCAGCAACAAGCACTCGCAGTATACGTATCCGTTTCTTCATCCACTCTCCCATTAGTAGTCGAAAAATGCTTTCTTGGTCCTCTGTAAGTATTTGAAAAAAAAAGAAAGGGGAAAAAAAAGAAAAAGGATGGATACGATCGATTTGATGGACATACGTAGGTACGCGAACGAGGATCTCGAGGATCTCGAGTCTTGGGGGAAACAGTGAATCGTGACCAAACGTTACACATCCTTCGCAAGTTCCGCCCGTAGCGCAAACAATGCCGGTGAAAAGTGAATATTGGTATTTGCGTACCTACTTTCTTCTGTATACGCACCGATACGTATTTGCGATAGCTCGTAGAATCGCTAACATCGTCCATCGTCCCCGTTCATCCCGCGCTTTATATTCATACTTCCGAAATGGAGTTACGATCGTACCCTGTGGATATATCATTGCGAATATGTGATTTACTAGCATCAGTTGACCGAGTTTAGAAAGTGCCGCAGCTGCGAACAATAGAATTTCGAACACCATGCCTGATTTCTCTCATCTCTACGTTGCTTGTTCGTGTTCATACTTGGTTCACAAAATGATCAGAAGTTCGACGACTTTCTCGCGAAGATTGCATTTAATTATTGATTGTTTCAGATATGGGTAACATTTCTACTCGCGAAATTTACAGTAGCTAGTATTGAGAGTAGTTCGGGAGGTTGGCAAGGGTAAGGAAAAATCATGAAGCTTCATTTTCGGCGTGCAATAGCAAAGAGTAGAGTATTTGTTTAAGTCGGACGAATTTTAATTGATAGAATATCAGCGAGCAGTGGCTACGGATCAGAACACGGCGTAGAATTAATTGGTTATGGTTCCTATGGCGGTGGTGGACTTGATCACGGTTTGCACGGAGGACACATTCAACACCATTACGCTCCAGCCGTACCGGTGAGCCAACACGTGGAAGTTACCAAGCCTGTGCCAATACCTGTCGTCAAAAACGTTGGTAAGTTTGCTTCATCAATTAAAATGTCGACGTTAATCGCTGTCGTGCAACTATAGATAATATAGATAATTCTCTCAAGCAAAATCATATCAAATTCATTCGTATAACATAATATTCGTATCATTTAGATTCGTTTGTGTTTCATAATTTACGCGAGCCAGATAAAGATCTCAATAATTAATTCGTCGCTGTAATTACTTAATTAGACTTTCTCTACGACTACAGGAGTGCCGGTTGCTCAACCAGTGGCGATAGAAATTCCACATCCGGTCGCCATAGGAATACCGCAGCCTTATCCGGTTCATGTACCAGTTGCAAAGCCAGTTCCGATCCCCGTGGTGAAGACCGTGGCGATTCCAGTCGAGAAAAAGGTTCCATTTCCCGTGGAGAAGGTGATACCGGTCCCAGTGGAGAAACACGTGCCTATACCGATAGAGAAACACGTACCGGTACCCGTGGAAAAACCATATCCCATTCACGTGCCAGTCTACAAGCACGTGTACCATCGGGTGAAGTCTCACGGTTACGGATGGAATCGTTAGCAGTTATAACATGATACTTTGAGGATATAAGCATGTCTACAGATATGTTCGTAACACCAAGTGAGCGTAACTTCTGCATGCGTATTGGCCAGTTTACGGCAAAAGATTACGATTCTCTTCCTCAAACGATCGATCGCGATAAGGCTCTTCTTCGAGCGCACATGTTGCTGCATAAATCGGAGAAATCAACAGGACGTCACACAAGTATGACAAAATATTTCTGCTGTTGTTTGTATTTATGGTTGTTTTTTTTTTCTTTTTGTTGCCGCGTTGTCAAATAAAATATTGATCTTTAATTAAACCCAGGCTTTATTCACTCTCTTTCCTCTGTAAAATTTACGCTATTTGATCGATCATGCTGGTAGATCTATCTCTCCGAACCATCCATCAGAATTGAAAATAATAGATAGTTTTCTGTTAATTCCAACGTGTAGAAAGTTCTATTCTCTTCGTTCGACTGAATTCGTTTAATAACCAGCTTATCTGATTAACGTTATGTTATAATTGTCGCAGTAACAGGTAAAATGGAATCGAATTCTAATATGAACGTATATGTTCTCTGAGTCGTCAGCATGATTATTCAATAGCTGATGAGTAATCAAGAGTTATTAATTACTGCTTCTCTGTTAATCTGAATAGATTACGAGATACATTTTTCAAATTTAACAGACTGTAATGACAAGTTCTGTTATATTTCATCTACTGCTACTTAATTATCATAATTTTCCAGTTAATAGCGAACAGATAGCACTGTTCGTGATCTTAAGATGCTTCGTTATGCTCCATAATTCGAATAAATTCCGAAATATGACGCAAGATAGACATGCGTATCAGATATCGCTGAATACACGATTTATGTCATTGCTTAAAATTGATATTAAAATTTTTAACAAACGAAGATCTGACTTTTTTAAAAAACATAATTTTAGTTTAATTAATTAATATCAAGCAGATAATATGGTAATTAATAATACTTTCATACGTACAGAGTTTACTAAAATTTTCAAGCACTCCCGAGTGTAATCAAGAAATGTTTCAGACAAAAGTTAGTTAGCTACAAATTGTATTCTTTTCTCGATAAAAAACCAAAATCACCTTGACTTTTTTTAATGGCATTATGCATTTTTGATTTGGTACCGTTATAGTTGATGTCAAGATGAGTTCAACTGTGATCTTGAAATGCCTTAGCGGGCAAAAATTGGAATTTGATTGAGAAATATTCATGTAAGAAATTAGATAAATATACATAAATATGCATTTGCCTTATGCGTTAACGAGGAAATTTTGTACGTTTAAAATTATGTTGCCTTATAAATTATTTCGGTATTGCTTTCAATAATAATAAAATAATTATGACTGCGTTTAAAAAAATTCATTTTTTGACTGATATTTATTTTGATAAGTAAAAATTCTTCATACGGAATAAAAGGTATTTTAGTAATTTTCACTTGTACAGTTTGTTGATCGTACATACATCATTTCTGAACATGTTATTTAAAGCATCGTCGTAATAAATATAATTTCTCATATGAGTTTTCCTGATTATTTGAAGGTCACAATATTACATATCGTTGTTCTATAATATCATTCAATTACAATCGTATAAAATCAAAAATGTAAAACACCACTGAAAAAATCCAAGGTAACTGTGGCTTTTTATCGAAAAAAAGAATTTTATTATTGTATTTTGTAATTGAGGCAAAACTGACCAATTTTTGTCTGAAACATTTTTTGAGTACATTATCCAACATGCTTAAAAATTCACAAATAGCACAAACACCCTGTATATTAGAATTATTATATTTTCAATTTTTCATTTGAGTTGCATAGGAATAGGTTTGCATAGTGACCAAGTTGACGAAGTTGACCAAGATGCATAGGAATAGGTTTGCATAGTGAGATTATTTGGACATTGTTTACCTGTTTACTATGATAGAATACGTCTATGTACGTTGATATTAGCACTTGTTATATTAGCAGTTTCTGATTTTATGGAGAAAAAGTAAATGATACATAAAACTTTATGTCCTGGTTTAATTTCTTATTGAATCATTTGAAAATAAACTTACTACATGTTTATATGCTCTAAAAAATTTTATGGATATGTCTTCATATAATGGATTCGGTGTATGAAGTTTGGTAGCAAAGATATTTTCAATTATATATTTATCAGTTGTTACTCAAATTTATAAATTGATTCATTTTTCAATTAATATTTTGAGCAATAAAATTGACAATATTTATTAATTTTTTATATGTAACATGTATCTATGATATTGATTTATTTTATTGATTTTGATTTATTTGATTTATTTTATTGATTTTAATTCCATGAAATAAACATTTTTTTAGCTTTGTACATATTTCTTCCTTTAAGTACATTTATTTTGTATATTTTTCCTCCTTACAATACATGTATGAGGAGAAAGGACCAAAGTATATTCTAGCATATTTTTTATTAAATAACTAAACAAAAATTGCAAAAATTAAAAATCTATCAACATGCTCAACATGGTCTTTTCTACGACATCTGGTTCCATTTTAAAAATTTTTTCTTTCCATTTTTTAATTTGCTTGTTTCTACGTTTTAAATTTTCTATTGATATTTTTAAATTGCATGTTTATATCTTGTATCAATGCATATATATATATATATTTTTGTTTATAATTCTTCGTTTGCAATTTTATTTACGCGTTTTATTCACATTTTACTATTTCAACTTGGGTATATCTGGATGTAACAGAGCGAATCGATCCCTATGTCGCGTGAGGCATCGTGTGATACACGCGGAACGTGTTAACTATTAGAAATTCTCGCAAGTGCGCGGGAATCATGATACACTATGAACTCGCTAAACTTCGTTTTCCATGAAATCTGAAAAGAAAGCAGTCGTAATTACTTCATAAAAAAAAATTATTATAACACTCGTTAGTTGCATTCAATTCAGAAAAAGAGAAATTGATCAACGGAATTAACGTGTTCGAATTATCGAGATTTAAGTATGAACAAGAGATGTCTACACAGTGTCTGTCGCTTTTGAATATATATACTAACTTTTGAATGGTGGGAGCACCGGTCAGTGACAGACCGATGAAAATTGTGAATGTACGTGGACAGTCACTTACGAATAGAGCAGAAAATGTCTAATTTGAACGGTGCTGGCGAACTTACAAAAATGGCCAATACTTACAACGTGTTCGCCGGACCGATACCTGAGAAACAGCGATTTATCGCAGCGAGAAGGACTAAACTACATCGCCGACAGTGAAAGGCTCGATGGTATATTAAGACGAGCAATGTGCAAAGATGTATCAGTCGCTGAAGAAACTTCTACAACTAGCAGTCAGGTGTGCAGTAACATGCGCCTAAATATGAACGAAATCGTGAGTAAAGAATTCGAAAAATTCTCGTTTCCGCGATTCGTACCTTTACGAATTGAACAAAGTATCTGAGGAATTCATCGACACGGGTCCTAAGATATCGCTCGCTTCTTCAGTAGATTCGTTACCGATCTGAAAGACCATTACTTTTAATCCTTGTTGTCGCGATCAGCTGATGCAGAATTATTAATCAATCAACAACAAAAAGATAAGAAACTCAATATAATATCGTTTAAAAATAAAATTGCAATTTTAATATTCACGGAGAAATATTCGCGCTCGATGTTTCAACTTTAATTTATTCACAAAGCAGCGATACATTCACTTTCTGAGCGCATTCTGTTTCAGCCAGTCGACATTCAAATGCACATTCACTAACGTGAACTTTACCTTCAACGTAGGTGCTACTTTCTCTGGTGTCCTTGGCCGCGAGCACGCCGGTGATCGTGCACCAGGACCAAAGTCAATTTCAGCCTCAATTGTACGGTGGCTTCCAACCAATAGAAAGATCCGATCAGGACAGTCTCGGGACTTCCTCGGGCGGAAGTTACGGAAGTGATTTTGGTGGCAACTATGGTGGCGGTGACTACAGTGGTGGTGGCACTGGCGGAGAATACGGTGGTAGTTATGGCGGCGGCGGTGACTTTGGCGGTGGTCATGGTGGAGGCCTGGAGGGGTCCTCTGGTGGACACTTGGAGGCCGGCGGTGATCACTTGAGCTCGGACTACTCTTCTTTAGGAGGTGGATACGAGGGTGGAGACGAAAGTGGAGTTTCCCTTGACGGAGGTCACAGTGTAGTGCATAGCGTCCCCGTGTCCGAGCATGTTGAAGTAACGAAGCCCGTACCGGTTAAAGTGATCAAACATATTGGTACGATTTTTTTTCTTTTTTTTTTTAAGAATCTATACTATCGACGTGACATTTACCTGTAATATACTTTATATGTATACTTTGTTTAGGGGTGCCGGTTCCTCAGATTTTGAAGATAGGCGTACCCCATCCAGTGCCAGTTGGTGTTCCCCAACAGTATCCAGTGGCTCATCCGGTTCCAAAATTGGTTCCTGTGCAAGTGATAAAAACCGTCGCCGTGCCTGTGGAGAAGAAGGTCCCATTCCCCGTGGAAAAGCATATTCCAGTACCAGTAGAGAAGCCGATCCCTATTACGATCGAGAAGCACGTGCCAGTACCGGTCATCAAGCCGTATCCCATAAAGATACCCGTGTACAAAACGATCTACCACCATGCGAAGAAGCATTAAACTTTAGCGACTCGTTATGAAATGATCCGACTGATACACACGTTCACACACGCTTTTACTCTGGATTCGGTTCCAAATTGAACCACGCTGATGAAATCGCATTTGTTGATTGTTGAAGCTGGCTTAATGCATAGCAATTAATTTTATTGTTTTTATCATGTATATATATATGAAACATTGTTGCTGTACATTTTGTAATTTTATAATTGTTCTCGTTTTTCAATAAAAAAGAATCTTGAAAATAATATATACACCTTCCGTTGTTAGAGCGAGAAAGTCAATCTCCGCAAATTCTGAGCCAATTCCCTTGTGTCTGCACTATCATATATCAAGCATGAAAAATGAAAAAAATGAAAAGATAAAATTGACGTAGTTGCATCTTACAGTTAGCTATAGCTTAGATCACGGATGAGCTTTGTACTTTGAAAAGATACAAGCAGACAGTTTTAGAGAGAAATCCAATAAGTCGAAAAATGAAGAAACTTTCCATTTAGGATGAATTGAACTTTTCTTTTAGTTTTGCAGATAGTAGATAGAGACGGTCATCATACTTCGTCGATGTATCCGATTTAACGCGCTCGAGATCGTAATCAAAACTTTCACTAATATTTCCGATGCACCAGCCGCAGATTCCGTGGAAAGTGAATGCTCGCAAACGCACTTCAGTTCAGGATGAAAAGGAATATTTGATCAGCAAATGAACCGTGAAGGCAAAGAAAGGCCGTCAAAATGACAAGCGAGTAATCTTTATCTAATTATTACCGCATACTTGATTAAACGAGATTTATAGGAAGTAGCATGGTCACCACTTTCTTCGATATCAAAAACAATCGAATTTAAAATACTCGTAGAATTAAATAAACCGTATCAAACTATATATATTTCAAAATGTATGTAACAAGGAATGTGTGGATATAATTAACCTTCCACGATTTTGTAATATACATTGTACATATTGGAATACTAGATAACAATATACTCTTATGAAACTTTTACCATATATACGATAATGAATATTAGATTTTTATATATATAAAATATCGTATGGATGTACCTTTATGCAATCTAATATTCATATAATCATTTTCGTCGTCCTGATTTTACATTTTACTTTCATGATCATTATCTGAAATCCATTAGCGTCAGCACATTTTACATGTAATTAATGTATCGGGCGATTAATCGACATCAGGAAGTAGGAAGTATCCGGCGATTCGCTGTAAAATGTATTCGAGGTATACGTTCGACCGTGATTTGATTGCAAGTGGATACAATGAGCGGGGCAAGGAAATATGCAATCAAATGAGTGAATGAGACTAAGAAATGAGGGGATTTGAACAAAGTTGAGCATTGTCCGGTGCTAGCGAGGATGGAAATCCTGTATTACATAACCGTTCGTAGCAAGTATATACAATGTTTGAAGGAATAGAGAAATGTAACCCGATAGTGAAGGTGTCGAATAGAATTTCACGTGATGTGAAGTGGGGTTGCTTGTCCCTTGCAGAGCAGTATATAAAGTGACTACGCTAACAATTTGTCTCGAGTTGATGTTTTATTCAACAAGCACGCACGTATACTGAACGAGGGAGTATGGAAAAAATCGTACGTCAGTTCTATATGCGACATTTAAACCGATACTCGTGCTAATAATCAATATTGAAAGCGTCGAGTCGAGCTATGCTTTTCTCGCGCAAGTAAACTTCTTCAATACATCTATTCTTTGTCAAACAAGCTTTCTTAACGTTTCTCTTTTCAAGATTGTAATTTTGACGATCGTCGCCTCCTGTTGGGCCAGCGAACTGGAATTTGGCGGTCACGGGTTAACTTTGGGAGAAATTGCCGTGGGCCACGAGGCGGAAGGATTTGGCTTCGATGAATTAGGTTCAGTTGACGTATAAATACTGTTTCTTACGTTTTAACACCAAACACTCGAAAAAACCGTGTTTTATTTTATCATGCCAGGTGGATCAGAACACGAGATTAGTCTAGCAAGTCATGGGAAAGGCGGACATTTTACACGGACCGTGGTGAAAACAATCGGTACGTAAACTAATGTCAACCAAGCGTAGTGCCTTATACTACATTTGGCTTAATTGCAACAGGAATACCAGTCGCCAAGAAGGTTCCTTTGTTTATACCGAGTTTGCAAATTGAAAGAGTTCCACAGAATTATCCAGTTCCGGTAATCGTGAAGAAACCTGTTCCTTACCAGGTAGATACTTTCGATCAAAATTTAACTCGCTTCCTCAGCCGATTTTTTAACATTCAACTTGTTGAGATAATATTCGTTTATTCTCAGGTGGAGAAACAAGTATTTACGAAGGTGGAGAAAAAGGTACCCACGCCCATCGAGAAAATCATTCCAGTGAAAATTGAAAAGCCTGTACCGTTCCATGTAGTGAAACATATTCCTGTCCCAGTGGTGAAGCCTATTCCAATTAAGATTCCAATTCACAAAACGATAGTGCACAGTCACAAGGGCCATTAAACGCGTGAAATTACGTTGTTGATTGTTTTTACGTTAACCGTTGTGGCAGCAGTGCATCGTTGGAATTACAGTCTTTATATTTATCTTGTCTTGTTATTCTTCCTTCTTTTTTTTTTTTTTTGTATCTTGAAATGATTTATTAATAAATATAATTACATGAATCGCACGTGAACCGTTTTCACTTACTTTTATATATTATCTTTATTTTTTATTATTTCATTCATTTATTATGCGTCGTATCTGAATCTCTTGTGCGAGAAATATGCGGTATAGTTTGTTTTTTTCTCGATCGTGAGAACAGACGTGGAAAAAGTTCACGCGATATTATGTTAATAGAATGTTACAATTATTGGGGATGGAAGGCGCAAAGGAGAAAGGAGAATGTCGCACGTTCGCAAGACATTCGTAGCGAAAGTCATCATAATGATTGCTTTCCTCTGTCATTGACCTTTGTAAATTCGACTGTGACGGCACAGGTGGAATTCGTTGAAAAATGTACGTTCACGAGATGAAAGTGAATGTACGAAATTCTTAAATGTAAAACGATCAAGCGTTACTGAGAAGCAAATTCAAAGTCCACTTTCATTCTCCATTTTTTCGTATAGTTTTTGGAACGGGGGATAATGCGAAACCGATGTCCGGTCATAAATTATAATCGTCGGATGCTTGGAAGATCCGTAGTGAGCGAGCGCATCATTTCTCCATCCTACAAGACTGCATTAGCATAGTAACATGATCGCAATAAAAAATAAACTGGAAGATGTTGAAAGAAAAAAAATTCGACGCGGAAGAAACTAAGGCGAAAGTAAGACATGAAAATGATCTGCCATTTCGTTGACCTGAGTAAAAGAAGGAAGAAGCTGAACACATTGTGTAGGAGCAAAAAATTGTATAGTAGGTAATTATCTATCTACTCATTAGAGTCTCGTTAACACACGACATTTCTTTTTCATAACTAATTAAATTAGGTTTTGTTGAGGAACGAGGAGGGAAAGAAGCTTAATGTTTGAGAAATAAAATGGAAATAATAATAATTGCTTAATAATTTTGATAATGCGACAGTTCGAGATCTTTAATCTTATGTCTTAAAATAGTAGCAACGTTGATTTTTTTTGCATTTTTTGGACTTAATTATGTGCATACGAAGAACTACAAGACTTCCCTTTCACGATCCCTTTCGCGCGCCCCCTCTCGAGCATCATTTCCGGTGGTTCTTTACGATAGCTCGTGTGTTAGAAACAGGATCAAGAAAGCAGTGAAAGAAGCGGTTGCTGCAAGAAAATGTTTTCCCGCGAGTAAAAAAGTAAAATTGAAACCTGGTTATGCGATTTATGCTTAATGTCTTCTAAGAAACAGAAACTCGCCGACATTAAATCTTATAACGTTGTATATTAAATGTTATAAGGTCTTTCAAAAATTTCCCTATAACCGATATAATCATTGCTTCATGTAATTTATGTAAAACGAATGTTTCTTAGTTGGAATTATACCCTTACTGAATCTAAATGGAAAACATTAACAGTGTTATTTGCTCGCCTCTAGAAAATAATCAAACGTTCACTTTGAACGTACATTCGTCAATGTGCTTTCCATATAAATTAAAAAAATTAAAAAAGAAAAAGAAAGAAAAAGGAAAATGTAAGGAACGTACAAGCTTCCTTCCTTAAATAGTTATTCTGCGCAGCAGAATAAACGCACGTCGATTTACATTTTTAATACTTTGACATTCGTGAAGTTTCTCTTCGACTTTTGATAGATAAATTGGAACAAAAACACGTAGAAAAGTTACTTTCGCTTCTTCGGATGAATACACGTCGCACTTCGATCGAATTTTTTCTCTACCAAACGAGGCACAAAAGAGGTGCCGTGGGTGGTTGTTAAAAATCACGATTGAACTTTGAACGTCGTTAAATTTCTAAGGTGAGCCTCGTACATTTCGCCTGACGTGACAAGCGTCGCGTGCCATTAATGAGATGATGCGCCGCTTAAAACAGCATCCGCGTCCGTGATAAGTAGGCAAATAAATCAAACTATTAAAAGGCTGATTAAATCGCTTTCGCTTTTAAGAAGATTTGCTCGACGTAATTAATTTGGCCGGAACAAGTTTAATAGGACGAGCAGCAAACTGTAACTTGTGAGTTTAATACGAACGCTGTCTCTATATCTAGGATGACGGGAATTTGCACAGAGGATGCAATGTACTCTCGGAAATCCAACCGAAATCCGAGACAAACTTTCAACCGAGAAATGATAACTCTTTGATCTGATGATATGATTGTATTATAGCTATATTATCCGTATTCGCATTCGTA